ACTCCCACCAACAGTGAATCAGGGTTCCAAAATTATTTTATTTTACCAAAACCCACACCTGTTGCCATTGAGTCCGTTCCTCTTTCTAGTGACGCTGTAGACAGAACAGAACTGCCCTTCAGGTTACTTGAGCCTGTAAATTTTTATGGAAACGGACTTCTTAATCTTTCCCTATGGAGCAGCTGGTAGGTTCGAACCTCTAAACTCTTGGTTGGCAGTCTGATACTTTAACCACTGTGACACCAAGTTTCTTTTCTTTTATTAATGGCTGTCATTAAGTTAAATCAACAAAATACCAAAAGACAAAGTTGTAACCAGAGTCTTATTGTGTTGTTTCTTCATTATGCATTATCTTCTTGAAAGCCGTGAGGAGGGGTAGGCGGTGGAGGGTGGTTAATCACAGGCACAATTTGATGGGGTGGTGAAGGAAGCAGGAAGGATCTGGTGTGAAAAACAATGTATAAGATCTTCTTAGAAAAGGCAGTACTTTAAAAAAAAAAGATACTGAACCATATCTGCCAGCATTTCAACATTCACATTAAATCAATCACACCTATTTTGCTTCTCTATTCATTCTATTCCACATGTCCATGGTACTTAGGAACTCTCTAAGGAGTGCAGAAGGTTAAGAGTATCAGAAAACCAAGTCATCAGAAAGTTACAGGTGTATGCAGTTGAGTTGAGTGACAGACTCAAATACTTTAATCATTCTTCTAACTTTAATATTTATCAAATCAAAATTGTATATACCTGATTCTTAACCTTTTCCTAAATGCTCATTAAATTGCAGTCCTTTTCGATGTGTCATCAAGATCACAAACACTAGATTAGCCTGGTTGTGCAAGAGCCGTGTGAGACTGATGTGTTAACTGAATATAAAATGTGCTCACTCCTGTGAGTGATTCAGTTACTCGGTTCACTTTTCCTGTCTTCCCTTTGTAAACTTGTGAAGATAACCCAGTATTATTAAACTTCTCTGAGGGCCTGTCACCAGTTCTCAGAATCGTCTAAAGCTGTGTTTAACCGCACCATCACCACATAAAAGGAAGACGGATGGACAATCAGTACAAGAGCAGTCGCAATGTGACTCCTCTAATTAATGTCATACAGCAAAATGTGGATTGATGATTGAATGGAAAGCCGTTTGCTCTGTAAACTCCCATTCAAAGCATTTTTATTTTTTTTTTAAGAAAAGGAAAGTAGATTTTCAAGTATTCGCGGGAAAGAACCATTTTAAGAGGGAAACTCAACTCACAGGTTGATAGGTGCTGGGATGCTTAGATGTTGCTCACAGCAGCCTTCACACCCTGATGGGTGCCGGGATGCTTAGACATCGCTCACAGCAGCCTTCACACCCTGATGGGTGCCCGGGTGCTTAGACATCGCTCACAGCAGCCTCCTTCTTCGTTAGGGTGGTTCCCGAGTCCCCACGCTGGCTCATCACTCGGAAGGAAGGCGACAAAGCTCTGAAAATTTTGAGGAGCATCGCCAAGTGCAACGGGAAATACCTCTCCTCGAGCTACTCAGAGGTAATTTCATGTATTATTGAAGAATAGCTTTGGTGAAAGTGGGTGAAACCATTTATGGGACATCATTTTCTTAGAATTGTAAGTCTGTTATCAAACTTCTAAGTAAATTGTTTGCACATAGGCCTGTATAAAAGTGAAAAAAGACAGTGGGAAGAATGATAAAATGTGTGAAAGATGATTGTGAGGTTGTACTAGTGTTATAGTTGAGGTTAACTGATCATTTCACTTTGTATTTTCAGTAGATGCACCATTATTGAATTATTATATTTTGGGTTTTCTGCATTTTTAAATTAATCATTTATATGCAGGAGAAGGATGGGCAGTCTCCTCCCGTGTAATTAGCTACCTCTGAAAACCTGCTGGAGGGCCAGCTGTGGGTCGGTTCTGACACTACGGCACATAGCAACAACAACATCGTTGATAAGAGGAAGAGGACGGAGTGCTGACCGGAAACAACCGCAGACAGTGCAGGAGGAGCAATGATGACGGGGTGGGGAGTGTGATCTGTGTCATGAAGCAAACACGTGTGAGCGGTTGAACGGAAGACTGATCAACTTTACTCACATCATAACTTGATGGTGGTGCCGTGAGTTCAGCTCATTGTAACCCTGTGACCAACAGGTCTGAACCCTGTCCTACCCTGTACCATCTTCACGATCTCTGACACAGCTGAGCCAATTGCTGCAGTCACCATGTCAACCCACCTGCTTGAGGGTCTTCCTCTCTTTTGCCATCCCTCCACCTTCCCAAGTATGATGTCTCTTTGCAAGAAATAGCCTCTCCTCACAACATGCCCAACGTGTGTGACATGAAGTTTTAACATCTTTGCCTCCAAGAAGCATACTGGTTGCACCTTCTCCAAGAAATATCTGTTTGTTCTTTTGGCAGTCTATGGAATATTCAGTATTTATTCTCCAGTACCACAATTCAAAGGCATCATTTCCACTTCTGTGATCCTTATTCATTGTCTAGCCCTCAGGTGCATCGCAAATGACTGAAAAGACCATGTCCTGAATCAGGTGCACCTTACTCCTCAAACTGACATCGTTGCTCCTCAATATCTGAAGAGGTCCCTGACTGCAGACTTTCCCAGTGCAGTATATCTTCTGATCTCCTAACTGCTGATACCAAGTGTATTGATTGTGGATCTGAGTAAGATGAAGTTATTGACAGTTTCTATCTTTTCTCCATTTTTCATGATGCTGCCTAGCTGTCCTGTGGTGAGAATTTTTGTTTTCTTGATTTGGAGATGCTATCCATATTGAGGGAGTCGACTGCTTTTCCGGGCATATGTTTGTTATGTGCAGGTTTGCTCTGTCCCCGGGAGCAAGGCTAGTCAGACTGGGTCTAGGGTTTGAACCAGGAGGTGGCCTTAAGCCAAAAGGCAGCTGGGAGAGGAAGTGCCCATATTGTTCCTGGTTGGCTCCTCCCAGGGTCTTGGGAAGTTCTCCTTGCCAGAAGGAAGGAGCATGGTGGTGTGAGCACAGGAATCGTGGCAAGCTTTTGGAGTCGACTGCTTTTCCGGGCAGGTGTTTGTTATGTGTAGGTTTGCTCTGTCCCCAGGAGCGAGGCTAGCCAGCCTGGGCCTAGGGTTTGAACCAGGAGGCGGCCAATAGTAGTAATGGGTACCCATGGTGGACAGTGTTGGCTGGAGCTTCCCGACTAAATCAAGCCTGGAAGCAGGAGCGGCATCCACTTCTGAAATGGCTTGCCTCCGGAAAATCTATGTATGAACAGTGCTCAGGCCTTTCGTTCATAGGGTCGCTATGAGTCGTCTACGACTCGATGGCACCAAAAAACAACATCCATACTGAACGTTGTAGTCTTTGATCTTCTGCAGCAAAGACATCAAGTCCTCCTCACTTTCAGCAAGCAAGGTTGTATCATCTGCATAACGCAGATTATTGATGAATCTTCCTCCAATCCTGTTGCCACATTCCTCTTCATAGAGTCCAGTTTCTTGAATAATTTGCTCAGTATACAGATTGAATAGGTATGTGTAAAGGACACAACCTGACACACACTTTTCTTCATTTTAAACCATGTAGTGTTCCTTTCCTGTGCACAACAGACCCTTGGTCTAGGTCTAGGTTTCACAAGAGCACACTTAAGTTTCTGGGATTCCCCTTCTTCTCCATGTTAGCCATAACTTGTTATGATCCACACAGTCAAATGCTTTTGTGTTGCCAAGAAAAGCACAAATAGACATTCTTCTGATAGTCTTTGCTTTCAGCCAGGAACCATCTGTCATCAGCAGTGATATCCCTGGTGTTGCAGCTTCTTCTCAAGCCAGGCTAAACTTCTGGTAGTTCCTGTCAGTGTACTGGCCTAGCCATTTTTTAATGATCTTCAGCAGTATTTTTCTTGTATGTAATACTAATGATATTGTTCAATAATTTTCACATCCTATTGGGTCACCTTTCTTGGGAATGGGAACAAATACATATCTCTTCTAGTCAGTTGGCTAAGAAGCTGTCCTCCAAATTTCCTGGCATGCATTAGTGAGCATGTCCAGGGCTGCATCTGCCACTTGAAACATGTCAACTGGAATCCCATCAATTCTTGGGGCCTATTTTTCCTTTGTGCCTTCAGCACACCTTGAATTTACTCCTTTATTACCATTGGTTTTTGTTTGTTTGTTTGTTTCACTTTAAAGAATAGTACTTTATTGGATAAGTTTTATTCAGAGAAAAAAAACAAGCTTTAATCTATGGTGACTGCCAGATAATAGAGTGGAATGTAATTTTCTTAGTTTTCTGCACTGATACAAAAGCTTCTACCAAATGGAGAAAAGTCATAAAATTATATTGACAGAGAGAGCTGTTGTTCTTATGTGCGGTCAAGTCACCTGAGACTCATAGCAACCCTATGTACAAGAACTCTGAACCCTGCTCTATCTGGAGCTAATCTTACTGTCTCTGACACAGCTAGTCCCATCACCCCAGTCACTGAATCAATCCATCTCTTTGAGGATCTTCCTCTCCTGTGCTGTCCCTCCAGTCTCCCCAGCATAATGTCTCTCTCCAAGGACTAGTCCCTCTTTGAAACAAGACCAGAAGGAGCAGCTTGGTGTCACCCTCTCTAGAACAAACCTGTTTGTTCTCCTAACAGTACTCTATGCCAAAACGTTGCATATGATAACCATGTGATTCACGACACTAACCAAGAATATAAAATATATATATAAGGAATATAAAAACAAAATAAGGAATGCTTCACGAGCATGCGTGTCTTCCTTGCACAGGTGCCGTGCTAATCTTCTCTGTATCGTTCCAGTTCTATATATGTGCTGCTGAAGCGAGCACCACCATTTGTTCTTGATCAAATGGTACTTCCTGAAATATTTCCGGGTCAGCTATTCTTTTTGGTAGAGTGATTCTGTGTATTCCCTCCATCTTCTTTTGATGCTTCCTGGGTCATTCAAGATTTTGCTACTAGAAAAATCAGTATTGCAACTCAAGAGTTAAATTTGTTTTTCCATTCTTTCAGCTTGAGAAATGGCAAGTGAGTTCTTCCAATTTTATTCTCCAATTTTAGGTCTCTGCATATACCATTATAATTGTTTGTTTTGTCTTCTCAAGCTGCCCTTTGAAATTTTCTGTTTAGCTCTTGTACTTTAACATCTCTACCCTTTGTTTTGGCTTGTCATAACTTTATTTATCATAACTTATATTATTGGGCTTATCATAACTTGCATTAGCTTATGTTTGGCAAATTATATAAAAATAAAAATTTGGCTTCAGAAATACTTTTTATTATAGCTGGTAAATGCTTGAACAGCCTTTAGATTTACATGGTGTTGTAGTTAGGTGCCACGGAACTGACAATGACTCCTAGTAATTCTCTCATGGACTGCCAAAAGAACAAACAAATATGTCAGAAAGGGCAGAGTGCTCCTTGGAGGCAAAAGTGGTCAAGCTTCATCTCACATACTTGAGGCATGTTGCTAAGAGAAGCTATTCCTTGGAGAGGGACATCATGTTTGGAAAGGTGGAGGGTTGGCAAAAAAAGGAGGGCCCTTAACCAGGTGGATTGACACAGTGACTGTCACAATGGGCTCTAGTGTGTCAGGAAGTGTGAGGGTGACGCAGGACAGGACAGGGTTCAGATGTTGTTCATAGGGTCGCTGTGGTCATACTTATGTTGATGTACTCGGTTTAATAATAAGAACCTAGACATGTGATTAACAACAGATAGAAACTTTGCCTCATCTTATGCTGTCTTCACAGTCTCTACTGTGCTCAAGCCTGTGGCTGTCATGATGTGTCAGTTCATCTGGTGGGTGCTTTTCCTCTCTTACACGGACCCCTGGCCTTCCACAGCATGCTGTCTTTCCAACATCTAGTCCTTCTGACAACACGAAGTATGTGAGACCAAATATACTATATACCATATATACTATCCTTGCTTCTAAGGAGGCCTTGGCTCTTCTCCCTCCAGGGCATGTTTGATCGTTCCTGTGGTGGTCCAGGGTATGCACATTCGGTTGTTTGTTCCTGTGGTGGTCGGATATGCACATTCAGTTGTTTGTTCCTGTGGTGGTCGGATATGCACATTCGGTTGTTTGTTCCTGTGTTAGTCCAGGGTATGCACATTCGGTTGTTTGTTCCTGTGGTGGTTGGATATGCACATTCGGTTGTTTGTTCCTGTGTTAGTCCAGGGTATGCACATTCGGTTGTTTGTTCCTGTGTTAGTCCAGGGTATGCACATTTGGTTGGTTGTTCCTGTAGTGGTCTAGGGTATGCACATTTGGTTGGTTGTTCCTGTGACAGGCCAGGATATGCACACTCGGTTGTTTGTTCCTATGGTGGTCCAGGATATGCACATTCGGTAGTCTTTGCCAGCACATTTTCTTTATATTTGTCCAATTTTCACATGTATATGAAGCAATTGAAAATCCCATGACTTGAGTTAGCCACATACTAGTCTTTAAATCGACATTCTTGCTCTTTGGCAAGATGTGCTTTAAAGATTCCTTGGCAGTTCTGCACTGTCTGTCT